AGTCTCTCATGTATTCCCAACTAATTAAACTTCATTGGACCATTTCGTTGAACACTAGATAGAAACATATCAATGCTTGCTATATGTCAACAACTACTAAAATATGTAGAGACTTCTCATGGGTGGCTACAAGAAATAGTAATGTTAAAAATTGTCAAGACTTGTCAATTGAGACATTTCATCAAGCATTTAATGTGCACTGTAGGAGGAGGAGGTTGTAATTAGCAGGTTTTTAAAGTTGTTGTGGGGGGTGGGGGGGGGGGGTCAGGGACAACCAATGATCACATGCTAGCTCCGCCACCAAATACAGTACTCTTGATATAATTATATTGTATTGTACACAATTATCTACTATAGATTTCTATACTTCTTTCTACAGTACCAGATAATCCTAGCCTTTATAGGTAGATTAAGGTTAAAAACACCTCTGTGTCAATTAGTCTTTAATTCATTTTAACGAAGTCCAAAACTTACGATTAAAATACCTAACTAGATAACCATCAGAACAGAAGTCAATTTGGAAATCATGACCATGGCGGTCCATTGAAATTTCAAACCATAGATGTCCTCAAGAGAATTCATTTATAGTACAATATGAATTTCTAGAAACCCTAGCTGCAAATTTCATTGCCTATAAATATGTCCAACTCTCTCAACTTTCATTTATCATATCATCGCTCGCTTCTTCATTGGCCCTTAGTTCCTTACAGAAAAAATGGCTATCTATCCTAGAAACAATTACCTCCTAAACCTCATTGCAGTGGCATTTGTAGCAGCAGGAGCCCTGTTGCCCACAAGTGTAACAGGTCAAGTTTCGGTGGCTGATATTGTCACTCAGGCATTCTTCGATGGGATCATCAACCAGGCTGCTGCAGATTGTGCTGGCAAGAACTTCTACACACGGCAATCTTTTCTTGATGCTGTGAACTCGTATTCCGACTTTGGCAAGACCGGTTCGGCGGATGACTCCAAACGTGAAATTGCAGCTTTCTTTGCTCATGTCACCCATGAGACTGGCCGTAAGATATTCCTATTTATTCTTTTTACCTCCAACTATATAATGTTTATAAAAGCAAAACAAAAAAGATGAATTAATCAAGTAGTTAACGTCCTAATTAACGTGCAATTATACTAACTCTTTGTTTTTGTATTCTCCTTTAAATATTATCAGACTTCTGCTACATAGAAGAGATAAATCGTGACACATACTGCGATACAAGTCGGACAGACTATCCATGCAACCCTAGCAAACAGTACTACGGACGTGGACCTCTCCAACTAACATGGAACTACAACTATGGAGCTGCTGGAAACAGTATTGGTTTTGACGGCTTAAACTCACCTGAATCCGTGGCCTCCGATCCCGTCCTTGCATTCAAGACTGCATTGTGGTATTGGATAACCAATGTCCGTCCTGTTATAAGTCAAGGATTTGGAGCCACAATTCGAGCCATTAATGGTGCTGTGGAATGTGATGGTAAAAGGCCTGACCTAGTTCAAGCCCGTGTCAACTATTACACTGATTATTGCTCCCAGTTTGGTGTTGATCCTGGCACTAATCTCTCTTGCTAAATTATAATTATAATTATCAGCTTAATTGTATGCTTCGAATGAATAAATAATGCAGCCTAAAAGAATATAAATGAATTCCAAGCCCTATGAAATAATTAAGGAGAGGGCTACCTCCTGTTGTGTAGTCCACCATATAACTTACAAAAATAAAGATCATCGTGCTCAGAAGGTTGGCCACTTTCACATATGATCTGATTGAAATATAATCCTATAATTAATTCTTTTTATGCCTGAGAATCAACCATTGATCCATTGCAATTCATATCATAAACAATCCCCGTTTCTTTGATTTATATAAAACTGTTATTCAACAATAAGATTTGAGAGTTTACTCCAACAATGCACATGACAAATTGTCAAAACTCTAACATTCGAGTTTTGACTCCAATTGTTTTTTCTCCAATACAAAGAATCACACCAAAATGGTCAAAGCCACCATGCTTTTTGAATTTTTCTATTTAAACACCATAATTTACTTAAGTTCGCCCCAAATTTTATTTACACTTAGTTAAAAAATTTGAATTTTAACTTTTCTAAGAACAACACATTTGTTAACTAATTAAATGCCCTTAAACACCAACACGCCACACCCACAAAACTTTAACTTGAAATCTAATTGTTTTAAATTTGATTCAACACTACAAGCAAGCGTTTTCAAGTGTATTTTTTTCTTTCTAGAAAGTTAATAGCTCCCAACAAAGCATCCATGCTGAATGCAATTCTAGAAAACACAGGTATTAGTGTACCAAAATGTCCGTACCTAAATATATTGTAGTGAATTAGTGCATAGAAGAAAATATGCAAAAACATAATTCCGTGCCTAAATATATGATATTAAACTAGTGTACCAAAATGTCGATACCTAAATATATTATACTAAACTACTCTACCGAAATGTCCATACCTAAACATATTATACTAACCTAGTGTACCAAAATGTTCGTACCTAAATATATTGTAATGATTTAGTGGCACATAAGAAAATATGCAAAAACATAAGTGTAACAAAAAATCTCTACGAACATATTTTCTTGTATAAGTTACTTACCATGATGAGAATTAAAATTTATAATGTTTTCATAAAATTTAATTTGAACACCATAAAATTATAAATAGAAAAGAGAGATAGTAAATATATATGCTAGCATTATATAGAGTCTATGGACTAAAATCAATTTTTAATCTTGTACAAGACATGTTTCTAAACTTCATCTTATTTAAGGATTAAAATCTAGTTTTCAATAAAAATATTATCATAAGTTGAAAAGTTGAAATAATATGTGCTATTTTGTCTTTTCATACAATTAAACATTAAGATAAAATTAAGATTATGTGGTGGAGCGAACTTCAAATATGGGTGGTATTTCTTTTTCTAAAAAAAAAAAAAGATAACTGGTTGTTAACCATGATTATCTACCATTTCGGGCCTGAAAAGTTATAACAATAATGACTAATATACAAGGACGATAAGGACATTCTAAGATGTAAAATAAATATAAAAATTATGATTGGAGATGCTCCTAAGTGTATAAGAGTGTTTTTAAGTACTTTAAAAATGACTGAGAACACTTTTAATGAAAGGATTGTTAGACCCAATTCTTGGTTAAAATACAAAAGAATTCTAGAAAAGAACTTGAAGTGCTTCTTGTAAGAAATACATAATTGATGCTTCTTCTCAAATGTAGTTGACGTGCTTTTAGAACTCGAAAACACTTTCACTAAAAACGTTTTCAGTAATTATAAAAACACATTCAAACATGCATCAATAAACCCATCAACTACCTTTTATTCATCTGTTAGTAATCTTTCTGAAGTCAAAAAATATTTCCCTTTTTTTATTAATACAATCATATATTTACATTAAGAACGAAAGATTCTGTCATAATAAATTGACCTATAACAACCATGATCTGGTCTTGTAATTGCAGTTTGGACCATGATCTGGTCTTCAAACAGGATACCTGCTACGCCGGCTTACAGTCTAAGTATAGGCGTGAGTTGTAGATCTAAATATAGTCAAGTTGGCTACAGTGCTCCTTCTACACATAATTCAAATCACCCTTTCAATATATTTTTCCTAATGAGTGAGAAGAATAAAGCAGTATTGAACTCGTTATTACAAGATTCAAACCTATATAGAAACTTTTATAAAATGACAATCTAGACAACAACATGAGTTGGTCTCTGTTTGTTTGTTTGTTTGTTTTTTTATTTTTTATTTTTTAACAAACGATATATCTACAATAAAGGAATGGATGAATAAATTAAGCCTCGCAATGAACTAGCAATAATGTGATTCAAATTTTCCTTTGACGAAAATCTAACCTAAGACCTCTCACTTACTAGTGAAGAAAAATACCACTCTAGACCTTAATACTAAGTGGGGAGTTGGTCTCTGTTATACATGCTTGTGTCTTCTTTGTCTGCCGAAATATTTATGGGGACCAAATTATCAACCCTAATCTTCTCCATTTCAATCCCGACACCATAACTGGACAACTCATGTCATTGGCCAGGCATCCATACAACCCTGCGTTTCAAAGGGTGAAGAGCTGTTCCAAGAAAATATGTTGGGACACTGGATTTTCTTTCTGGTTGCAGAGATGAGAAGATAAAGGGAAATTATCTACGACATAACCAACCCGTAATGACATCTATCTTTAGCTATATTACAACAATATCAACAAAATTGTTAGAACTCCGAGACGACATACTGAATATCTACGATCTCAATACTATATCTATACAAGGACATCAATATGAACATCGTATCAACAATATCTACACTATCTCAATAGTCTATCGATATGTATCAACAATATCTAAAATTTCTCACATGGGTACTTTAGGCATTTTCATCCTTCCGCCCGTCATTAGTGTCTTTCACATCTTTCTTTCTCTTTCAACAACTAAAGCTTGAAAATTTTCCATTATAGCTAATTACCCAAAAATATTTGTCAATCGTTTACCCATGTTTGTTTTCTCACTGCCTAAAAAACAACTCTGCAACAAGGACACTCAGATGAGTATGGCAAGCATCATATATGAACTGAAGATCACCAACAGCAACAAGCTGGGCAATCAAACAGCCACTGGATCTGCCTGCCACACTATTTCTTCATGGTCCTCTCTCCAGTATAATACTAAGAAATAATAAGACCAAAACACACTACAACATGTTAAAAGGGAGGGCAGCGAGAGCTTAGGTAACCCGCGACTGGTGGTGGTTGAGGCTAATAACTATTGGGGCTGGTCATCCGGTGTGGCGACAGTGGTGCAACAGATGGAGGAGAGGGTAAGAGAAGGGGGGATTAGGAATCATGGTGAACATAAGACGATTTTAAGTCAAAATACAATAACCAGAAATGTATGTACGTACCCTACTTACTAAGGACCTTGATCACATACCAAAAAAAAGAAGAGAAATGTTGAAAATTTGAGACTAAATTATTACTTCTTATGCTAACAATATCTTACAAGCTGCTTCGATACTATAACAGAAATTCGTACGAAACTTTCACTTTAAACCACCAACAGTTTTCATACCAAGGTATTTGCTTCTACATATTTTTCCACAGCTTTGTTTTGGTCTGACAAAAGAACACGCATGTACCTTGCTGAGAAACACTTTCTTCTTGATTATACCATCTTTACTTTTAGTTTGCGTGGGATGCAGATTAAGTGGAGCGATAGGCAGGACCACTTGAAGTAGACCAGGACTAAAATCAGGATCCATAGGGAGTGAAGGTGAAGAGCTGGCAGGTACAGTATTGGACTGAGATGAAACAGAAGCAGGTGATGGTCTAAGAGACAAGGGAACTGATGATGAAACTGCTGGTGAAACTAATGATGAAACTGATGGGGGAACACTAGATATGGGAGACTGTGATTGTGATTGGGACTGTGAGTGAGATGATGAGAGAGGCTGAACAAGCATGTTATCCATAGTAGGGATAGGGAATGGAATGGAGGGCTGAGAAATAGGCAACTGAGCAGACTTAGACTGAAGTACCTGAATTAAATGAGTATAGGGAAATCAAAACTCATAAAAAACAACATGTATGGATATATAAGTTCTACCCTTTAAGACATCAAAACAGATAAAACCTTTGTACTTCGAGGCATATCCAAGAAAGATACATTTAGTGGTTTTAGGTTGTAACTTAGTGTTGTTGTAGGGTCGCAACAATGGAAAACAAGAGCAACCAAACACTTGAAGATGACTTAAAAGAGGAGGGACTCCAAATAGACGTTCAAAGGGTGAACAGTTGTGCAAAGTTGGAGTAGGCATACGGTTGATAAGGTGCACAGCTGCTTGACAAGCAAAAGACCAGAACTGAGGGGGTAACTGTGCAGATTGCAATAAAGTGATATTTGTTTCAATAATGTGGCGATGTTTACGCTCAGCCAGTCCATTTTATTCTGGGGTATGTGGGCAAGATTTATGATGTGAAATGCCTTTGTTGTGAAGGAAATTTTGAAGCTTAGCACTGATATACTCTCCACCACCATCAGTTTGTAAAGTTTTAATACACACAGAAAACTGAGTTTGCATAAATGAATGAAAAGTAACAAAAGTGTCAAAGAAGTCGGATTTATTCACAAGAGGAAACAACCAACAATATCGAGTGCACTCATCAATAAATGTCACATAGTATCGATATCTATCAATGGAGTTACATGGAGAATGACCCCAAAGGTCACTGTGTACAATTTCAAAAGGAACATCAGACTTATGAACACTAGACTGAAAAGGTAGCTTAGTGAATTTGCCTGCTAAACAGCCATGACACAACAAAGGAATAACATCTTGTGTACAAGCAATGGAAGACTTGTGCAACATTATTTTGGCAATGGTATTAGAAGGGTGCCTTAACCTACTATGCCAAATATTAGAGCTAACACGCTGACTAAGAAAGGTAGTAATGTGAGAAGAGCCGCGAGTGGGAAGAGAGGGATGATTGACGACTGAAGGTATATGATAGAGTCCATTACTGCACTGTCCTTTGTATAATATCCTCCCTGTGGCTTTGTCCTGAATCCAAAAACAATAAGCATCAAATATTAACCAACAATTGTTATCGAGGCAAATCTGGTGTACGGACAACAAGTTGTTGGAAAGTCGAGGTACATAGAGAACTGAATTAAGTTTAATGGAATGCAAAGGTGTGCGAATAATGGAACTACCAATATGAGATATGTGCAAACCTTCACCATTCGCAGTTTGCACAATCTCATTGGTAGGATAAGGGGAAGCCAAAGACATATTGCTGAGATCGGCAATCATATGATTTGTAGCTCCTGAGTCAGTGATCCAGAATTGGGGTTGTTGATGAGAAGTAGAGCCTAAAAAAGGTTGAGAAGTAACTGTATGCATTGCTTGCATATGAGATTGAGGAGGACATACTGGTGCAGAAGGAGCATATACATTGGTAGTCGATTGAGAATGGTGAGGACCACCAAAATTTGGACCTTTATCATTGAAGAAGCAATACCAAGTAGTATGATTTACTTTACCACATATGTGGCAGCCCTGTCTGTCCATTGGTTTTGAGTTACAAAATGGAGCAGTATGACCAAATGTGTTGCCCAACTAACAAGGAAACTGTGGATGTGTATTCTGACCAAAGTACTGAGTTGGATGCGAACCAAGAACTCCAGAAAAACTAGGGTTCGGATTAGAAAACTTATTGGAAAACTGCGGTCTAGGATTAGGATTAGAATACCTATATCCTTGATTAAACTTCCCTTTTCCCTTCCTGTTGTTATTAAAAGATCGAAAACCACCAGAAGTTCCAGAATAACCACTATTATGAGCAGACGGATGAGTTATGAAACTTCTAGATTGAGATTGATCTGTACAGGATTTGGGGCTAGAATTATTAGCAATCATGGCAGTCATGAACCGAGAGGACAACGTGCTATCAACAATCTGTTCTTCAGCAAGCAATTGCACCCGAAATTCCTTGAGAGAAATAACATTCTCACGACCCCATATCACACTGAGAAAAGTATTATACTCAGGAGGGAGACCATTAAGGGCAAGGATAACAATATCTTCATCAACAAATGTAACCCCAGTAGCAGACAAATAGTCCCTAGCTTCTTTGATATGCTGTAGATATTGAGATACCGAGTCAGAACCCTTTCGAATAGTCTGAAGATTAGACTTAAGCTGAAAAATACTTGTCCGAGACACAGCCGAAAACTGTTCTTTCAATCGATTCCACATATCACAAGCACTGGTGCTACCAATCGCACATTAAATCGTAACTGGTGATAAAGTAGCAGTGATCAGCTGCATTAGGGCACGGTCATGCATTTTCCAAACCATATAATCTTTAGTCTCAAACTGAGTCGAAGAATTTGCAACATCAAGACTAGAAGCAGTAGAATTATCAGAACAAACGACATATCGAGGTGGACAAACATGCGATCCATCAACAAACCCCATGATACCGTGTCCCTCAAGCAACAATTGCATTTGAAATTGCCAATTCAAGTAATTAGAATCATCAAGTTTAACATTCACAGATGTGGAAATAGTAGAAATAAGACTAGTGATTGGAGATTGTAAAATCTGCAGTTGCAATGCAGTCACCGTAGTTGCAGATGCTAAAAACCAACTGACAAACACCTTGCGTGCACACAATCTGGAGCAAAAATTCAAGATTTGCAGAAACCCTAGAAATCACAGACGACGAGAAAAATACCAGAATCCGTCGAGAAGCAGATAGTGTCAAAGACGAAGAAGATGAGCGGAAGCAGCCAGAAGATCGAAAGAAGCAGCGTGAGCAGCAATGGCTCTGATACCATGTTAACGTAGAGAGAAGAAGTTAGGGTTTCAAGTATTAAGAGAGAGAAAGAGATCGAAGAAGAGAAGTTTGTAGAGAGAGAATGAAATCTGTTGTATATTATGTTTTTCTTACTTACTAAGTTATTACATTGAGGTATATATAGAGAATAAGATCTCTAACAAACTAACTAACTAAGACATACATCCTTATGACAAGTGTCTCAATCCTAACCATTCTCTATATTCTTACATTAAGAACCCGTTAATAACGGGTTCTTAACGGGTATACACGCGGGTAACACGTGAGTAACCCGTTAAGAAAAAAATGATTTTGATAATTTTAAAGTTTAATTACCAAAAGATTTATTATAAAATACAATAGCCATATTAATATATACATATATTCTATATTAAATATATAGTTTTGGATTATTATTCTATATAAGTTTAAAAGCAAAAAAAGTTTTAGTCAGTATTTATTTTTATTATGAGAGTTCCTTATTATCATTACTAGGATAAATTTTACTTAACATGTAATCCAAAATTAAAATAAACTAGTATAGTATTTCTATACGTAAGAACTAAGATAGTTGAGATTTGCTGGAGTAAACTCTTAAATCTCAACAAATCTCAACAAATCTCAACTATCTATTATCATTACTAGGATAAATTTTACTTAACATGTAATCCAAAATTAAAATAAACTAGTATAATATTTCTATACGTAAGAACTAAGATAGTTGAGATTTGCTGGAGTAAACTCTTAAATCTCAACAAATCTCAACAAATCTCAACAATCTATTATCATTACTAGGATAAATTTTACTTAACATGTAATCCAAAATTAAAATAAACTAGTATAGTATTTCTATACGTAAGAACTAAGATAGTTGAGATTTGCTGGAGTAAACTCTTAAATCTCAACAAATCTAAACTATCATTGCCTATAACTATGTCCAACTATCTCAACTTTCATTATCATATCATCGCTCGCTTCTTCATTGGCCCTTAGTTCCTTACAGAAAAAATGGCTATCTATCCTAGAAACAATTACCTCCTAATCCTCATTGCAGTGGCGTTTGTAGCAGCAGGAGCCTTGTTGCCCACAAGTGTAACAGCTCAAGCTGCGGTGGGTGATATTGTCACTCAGGCATTCTTCGATGGGATCATCAACCAGGCTGCTGCAGATTGTACTGGCAAGAACTTCTACACACGGCAATCTTTTCTTGATGCCGTGAACTCGTATTCCGACTTTGGCAGGACCGGTTCGGCGGATGACTCCAAACGCAAAATTGCAGCTTTCTTTGCTCATGTCACCCATGAGACTGGCCGTAAGATATTCCTATTTATTCTTTTTACCTCCAACTATATAATGTTTATAAAAGCAAAACAAAAAAGATACAGTTGAATTAATTAAGTAGTTAACGTCCTAATTAACGTGCAATTATACTAAATCTTTGTTTTGTATTCTTCTTTAAATATTATCAGACTTCTGCTACGTAGAAGAGATAAATCGTGACACATACTGCGATACAATGCGAACAGATTATCCATGCAACCCTAACAAACAGTACTACGGACGTGGACCTCTCCAACTAACATGGAACTACAACTATGGAGCTGCTGGAAACAGTATTGGTTTTGACGGCTTAAACTCACCTGAAACCGTGGCCTCCGATCCCGTCCTTGCATTCAAGACTGCATTGTGGTATTGGATAACCAATGTCCGTCCTGTTATAAGTCAAGGATTTGGAGCCACAGTTCGAGCCATTAATGGTGCTGTTGAATGTGATGGTAAAAGGCCTAACCTAGTTCAA